CCTTTTCCAAGCGCGTGGTATAAACTGACGTGAGCCCTAACATTATTATAAATGTTATGTCAAAACAAATCAATTTAGTTTTGTTTGTTTCATTGGATCGGTTATAGAGAAAAAGTTTATATGTGTTCAGTGATAGTTTAACCGTAAAAGGTTTATAAAACATGTCCAACTAAATATTTTAATATTTTCTGCTGTTTTGCATATTAAAGTCAATTATTATACAAATGTTGTTAATTTATCAGAATATTAAAATTTACCAGAATTGTCAAATTAACAGAGAAATTATTTATAATAATAAATCCTAATATTAAAATTAAATTTAAATTTTTGCTTATCTGCAATAACATTAAATTATTGTATTGAAATTTTACAATATTTACAAAAAAAATACCATTGAAAAATATTGTCATAAACTTTTAAATATGAAAACTATCTTCACTTATTTGTTTTATAATCTCAAGGAAATGGATTGCAAAAATTTACATATATCTATCATATAGAGAATATTGACAGAAAAGAAGTTTTAAAATCTAAAAATGCTTTAAAATGCTATAAAATTCAAATATTTTCAATATTTACTGAGTTATTCAATATTAATCATTTGTTATATGAATTATTTATATTTTTAATGAATTCGGAAGTGATTGCTAGGAATTGATTATAAAGACAAACCATTTATCGCATAAGTCTAGCGCCTCATGAAATCGATTGTTGAGAGCCATCGTCAATAGGTTCACCACTTCTTCTAGCGATGACTCCAGATCTGGAGGACTTGAATCCATTCTGAATTGTTTTATATGTGAATGAATTCATAGATTAATAGCTGACTTAAAGATAATCAGATATTATACGGGAATTAAGACTTGACTGACTTTGATATATGAGTTGAACAATCGGCCCAAACTTCTAAATCCTGTTAACAATTCAATTACAAAATCATTATTCCTTAGATATATTATATTTCTTATTGATATCAAGTTGTTATGACCTATACTTCTGTGTCAATACTCGTTTAGATCCAATAATATACTTTATTAATTAACACTTCTTACAGTATACAGTATTTTGTATAAATATTAATACTGTAAATTAAAACAGTTACATTTATAATTAAATATTAATATTATTATTAAAAATTATATTTAATATAATAACTTAATAATAATAATTTATTATGTTCTATTGTTTATATTTTAATAATTATAATTTATAAATTAAATGTATATTCTTTTCAAATAAAAATTAATGATAGTATCATATTAAAGTATTAATTTACTCTAAATAAATTAAAACCATATATTTAATGTTTAGCAAATTATTTAATATTATTTCCGGTATATTTAAAATATAACTCAGTTATAATTTTTTGTCAAAATTAATATAATTTATAATAATTATACTAATATAGTATAAAAGAGTTGAAATAAAAACTTGTCATCAGATAAACAAATATAATGTTTGTTGGAATTATGAATTGTATTCATAGAGAAACATTGTATGAATAATAATATGCTATCATATGTTTGTCAAACCGTTATAATAAGGGAATCCATGAATTGACAATTGACTGGTTGCTTGTCTTTGGCTATTATAATGGATATGAATGGCTAATAACATACCTCTGTTTCGGGGCTCTCATCAGTCTTCGGCGGATCCATAATTGGTGACCAAATGTTGGCACAAATGATCACAAATGAAGTGAAGAATTGCAGGAAATGGTAGTATTGATCACTTGTATGTGTATATAGAGTAGAGTGGAGTGGAGTAGAAGTGGAACAACCATTACGTGTATATTCTATGGCATAGAAGTTGTGCCAAAGACTCGCTTTTGTATCAAAACTCGTTTATTTGGGTTTCTGTTTATAAATAGATTCTTGAGTTCATTGTTATCGAGAATTTGGGAACAAATCGGACGACAATTATAGAAAATTAAAATTATAAATATCTTTCACTGCTCTCAACACACTTACACTGTATTAACCCTAAACTGTATGTACTCTCACTCCATGTATTCAATTGCATCTATTTATATAAGTGAATGCTTTCAACATTTACAATATCTTCCCAATACTTTTTGCATAATAGACCAGGATATTCACTAATTCTACTTATTTTTGCCATCACTTCTATTTCATATCAATTATTAACAAAATTTATCTTAAAATATATGCCTTCAACTCATAGATATTGTATCCAGAACAGCTGAATCAATAAATGTCTCAATTTAAGCATAAGTGGGTTTTAATATTTTAAAAACCAAATGGGGGTCTGTGGGGGTGTGGGGTATATGTGAGTGCAATGGGACTTATATTGAGGCCAATATCTGGCCGGACAGTATTATACTGTATAAGCCATTACTTCATTCAGAGTTTTTATAATTGAATTAAACGTCAAAATTGAAAGTATTTTTGAAAACAAGTTTTGAAAACAACATTTGAAGACATCATTGATTAGTGAACCAAATATGAGCTCATATTCAGTGTTTGTTGTGATTTCTGTGCACAAGAAGTGACCACAACTCCAGTGATTGTCTCGTATTTGTGGCCAATCGACCACTCAATCAACCAATCAATCAACCAATCAATCCATTGGTTGTGAATCAGCTCAGAAGTGTCGACCGACAAGAAGTGTCTGAATGGGTAAACACGAGGCGTTGACCCCGAAGGCGATCGGGAAGAAGATCAAGTCGAAGGGTCTGCAGAAGTTGAAGTGGTTCTGTCAGATGTGTCAGAAGCAGTGTAGGGATGAGAATGGCTTCAAATGCCACTCCATGTCTGAATCACATCAAAGACAACTCCTGCTGTTCGCCGACAATCCGCACAAATATATGGACGCCTTCTCGTCGGAGTTCCTCAAAGACTTCCTCCATTTGCTGAAGACTCGGTTCAGCAGCAGAAGAGTGTTCGCTAATCAGGTCTATCAGGAGTACATCAAAGACAGGAATCACTTGCATATGAACGCCACGCGTTGGGTCACACTCTCGGGTCTCGTCAAATGGATGGGCAGGAAAGGCATCTGTGCGGTCGACAACACCGAGAAGGGCTGGTATATCACGTACATCGATAGGGACCCCGAGAAGGTCCAGAAGCAGAAGAATCTGTTGCGCAGACAGAGGACCGAGAAGGACTACGAGGAACGCCTACAACAGGCCATCAGTGAGCAGATCGAGAGGGGAAAGGCGTTGGAAAGTCACGGCACTAACGGCGAGCACAGCTCCGATGACAACGATCTCAAGACTAAGGAGTTTAAGAAAGAGAGCGACGACCAGAAGATTACCTTCAGTTTAAGTGTTGCCAAAAGTGACACCCAATCGACGGGCGAGACCTCCAGTTCCACATCGACGGCGATTGGCTTCAAAATAGGCGCCAATCAACTGAAAAGTGTGGACAAAAGTGATACCATCTCTGTCTGCAGTTCTAAACGAAGATTGCAATCAAAAGACGCGCCAAACAAGAAGTCAGCGTTGGATCAGATCATTGAAGAACAGGAAAGATTGCGCCACAAGTCAGCCAAACATGACTATTGGCTACTGAAGGGAATTGTAGTGAAAATAATAACCGACTCTTTAGGGGATAAGTATTACAAGAAGAAAGGAGTGGTAGAGAAGGTTGAGGACAAATATACGGCTG